GAAAGTCATCTAACATCAGAGGATCAAAGTTATATCAACCAACAAGCACTGGGGAATTGATAAGCAGCTAAAATTAGGTCATCGTATAGCAGCGGCTTTTGATGGATGAAGTGAAATTTAGCCGCAGGTTTGCTATTTAAAGATCTGTTACAGATCTCTCTTCCTGTAGCTGCAATGAACTTGCAATAGAGTATCAGGCCTCTGATGAAATGTTTAATCATCCATGTTTGTGGCTGACTGTGGCAGAAATTTACAGGTTCCTTAAGAGAAGGTGCAGCTCTCAGGTTGAGCTGCGTAAATAAATGCATTTTAATTCCCGAGTCCAGAACATAACAGAGGCTATTTCTCCCTCCTCCAGGCGAATTCTGCAACGTCATTTTAATCACTTTTAAAAGCATTCTGTCAAACACTTCAGCCTGCAAAGCCCGACCTGGCTCAGTGTTTCAAAATTCTTCATCTACTTAGAGCAAGCACAATGCTCAATTGCCTGGGCTTCCTCAACCTGCTTCGGTGGCCTCGTTTCTTTCCTCTGACACTTTATTTTTATTTATTTATTTTTTTGTCAAAATGGAACCTTTAAAAATTTTTTATTATTATTGTTAGTTTCAGGGGTAGAATTTAGTGATTCATCAGTTGCATATAACACCCAGTGCTCATTACATCATGTGCCCTCCTTAACACCCATCACCCAGTTACCCCACCCCCCTACCTACCTCCTTTCCAGCAACCCTCAGTTTGTTTCCTAAGTTAAGAGTCTCCTTGGGCGCCTGGGTGGCTCAGCCATTTAGCGTCTGCCTTTGGCTCAGGTCATGATCCCAGGGTCCTGGGATCGAGCCCCACATCGGGCTCCTTGCTCAGCAGGGAAGCCTGCTTCTCCCTCTCCCACTCCCCCTGCTTGTGTTCCCTCTCTTGCTGTCTCTCTCTCTCTCTCTCTGTGTCAAAAAATAAATAAAAATCTTTAAAAAAAAAAAAAAGAGTCCTCTATGGTTAGTCTCCCTCTGTTTTTGTCTTATTTTATTTTTCCTTCCCTTCCCCTATGCTCATCTGTTTTGTTTCTTAAAGTCCACATACGAGAGAAATCATATGGTATTTGTCTTTCTCTGACTGACTTATTTCACTTAGCATAATACCCTCTAGTTCCATCCACATCATTGCAAATGGCATTCTTTCTGACCGCTGAGTAATATTCCACTGTATATATATACCACCTCTTCTTTATCCATTCATCTGTTGACGGACAACTGGGTTCTTTCCATAGTTTGGCTATTGTGGACATTGCTGTTATAAACACTGTATCCTTTGGATACACACCTAGTAGTGTACTTGCTGGGTCATAGGGTAGCTCTATTTTTAACTTTTTGAGGAACCTCCATACTGTTTTCCAGAGTGGCTGCACCAGCTTGCATTCCCACCAGCAGTGTAAGAGGGTTCCCCTTTCTCTGCGACCTTGCCAACACTTACTGTTTCCTGAGTTGTTAATTTAAGCCATCCTGACCAATGTGGGTGGTATTTCATTGTGGTTTTGATTTGTATTTCCTTGATGCCGAGTGATGTTGAGCATTTTTTCATGTGTCTGTTGGCCACTTGTATGTCTTCTTTGGAGAAATGTCTGTTCATGTTGTCTGCCCATTTCTTGATTGGAGTATTTGTTCTTTGGGTGTTGAGTCTGATAAGTTCTTTATAGATTTTGGATACTAGCCCTTTATCTGATATATCATTTGCAAATATCTTCTCCCATTCTGTCAGTTGTCTTTTGGTTTTGTGGACTGTTTCCTTTGCTGTGCAAAGGCTTTTTATTCTGATGAAGTTCCAATAGTTCATTTTTTGCTTTTGTTTCCCTTGCCTTTGGAGATGTGTCTAGAAAGAAGTCACTGTGGCTGAGGTCAAAGAGGTTGCTGGCTGCTTTCTCCTCTAGGATTTTGATGGACTCCTGTTTCACATTTAGGTCTTTCATCCATTTGGAGTCTATTTTTGTGTGTGGTGTAAGGAAATGGTCCAGTTTCATTCTTCTGCATGTGGCTGTCCAATTTTCCCAACACCATTTGTTGAAGAGACTGTCTTTTTTCCATTGGACATTCTTTCCTGCTTTGTCAAAGATGAGTTGACCATAGAGTTGAGGGTTCGTTTCTGGGTTCTCTATTCTGCTCCATTGATCTATGTGTCTGTTTTTGTGCCAGTACCATATTGTCTTGATGATGACAGCTTTGTAATAGAGCTTAAAATCCGGAACTGTGATGCCTCCAGCTTTCATTTTCTTTTTTAACATTACTTTAGCTATTCGGGGTCTTTTCTCATTCCATACAAATTTTAAGATTGTTTGTTTTAGCTCTGTGAAAAATGCTCGATGGTATTTTTGAAAGGGATTGCACTGAATGTGTAGATTGCTTTGGGTAGTATAGACACTTTAATAATATTTGTTCTTCCAATCCATGAGCATGGAATGTTTTTCCATTTCTTTGTGTCTTCCTCAATTTCTTTCATGACTGTTCTATAATTTTCAGAGTACAGATCCTTCACCTCTTTGGTTAGGTTTAGTTCTAGGTATCCTCTGGTTTTTGGTGCAATTGTAAATGGGATTCCTTGATTTCTCTTTCTTCTGCTTCATTGTTGGTGTATAGAAATGCAATTGACTTCTGTGCATTGATTTTATATCCTGTGACTTTGCTGGTATTTTTGAAAGGGATTGCACTGAATGTGTAGATTGCTTTGGGTAGTATAGACACTTTAATCAGTTCTAGCAATTTTTTGATGGAGTCTTTTGGGTTTTCTATGTAGAGTATCATGTCATCTATGAAGAGTGAAAGTTTGACTTCTTCTTTGCCAATTTGGATGCCTTTTATTTCTTTTTGATTTCCCTGCCACTTTAGAATCACACATGCCTTCCAGAATGGGGCACATTCCTCTCTTCGTTGTTTGGTTTCCAAGGATTCGGGCTGGGGACCGTGTTGTGTGGGGTCTGGGTGCCTGTGGCTGCACCCCCAGCCTGCACGGGTCTGGATCCTGCCCCCAGGGCCGAGTTGGAGCTGCAGGAATCTGCAAGGTTTGGGTCAGAGGTCGGTCCCAGCTCCCAGGGGCAGCCACAGCACCAGGCACACCCAGCACCACCAGCAGTGCCCAGGGACTGCTGAGCCTCCCCCTTATGGGCTCCAAAGGTAAAGACTGAAGAGTCGCAGTTGGGAAGGGGTGCAGGGTGGGGGGCTTCCGTGGGCTCATGTGATCACAGGGAGGCAAATGGGCCTTGAACTTTGGAAAGGCCAAGGACAGAGCCCCGCTCATGATGGAGACGGGTTCCAGCCAGGCGTGGTGGGCCCTGGTGCTGCCCCTCCCTCACTCCAGGGAAGGAGATCCTCCTCTTCTGGGCCCCAGGAGAGCCAGGTGTGAGTAAGGCTTGGGAAACAAGGGTGCCTGGGCTAGGGCCCCCCCTCTCTCTGGGGCTTGTGCAGCCTGGATTCTCTAGCATGCCACGGAGGGGACTGGTGCCAGGATGGGCTGGAAGATGGTCCCAGGGAGCCGGCAGGGCTTGGGGCCAGCCGTGGGACAGCAGAGGTCAAGGAGCAACCCTTCTGGATCTGCCAGTCACCCCTTCCCACCTCTTCCCTGCTGACTAATCACCCAAGGCCATGATTACCCTGTCATCCCAGAAATACCACCATGCCTGGCAATGGCTTTTCATATGCAAATTTCATGCCACTTGCTTCCCATTCTAACCAAACATTTGTACTGGCTTTGTTGGGAAGATAAACTCTCTGGGGGAGGCCTGCTGCTATTTTATTAAGCTGGTGCCTTAAATGGGGCAGCTTCTGAAATCCTACCGCTGTTCTCTAGAGCCCCTGGAGATAGCAGGAGGGGATGTGTGGAGGCCCCTTCATGGTTTCTTGTGATGCGGCGGGAGCTCACGTAGAGGAGCCCAGCTGACAGCCGGGAGCCTGCCATTCGCAACATGAACCACTGGATGTGTACCTCAAAGTGCTTGTTCCTGGCTATGTTTCTATATCTGATTTAGTCTGGGCTCCCCGAGAAGCCACCCTTGGATAACATTCCCATGCTTGAAGCATATTAGGAGGGTTAGTCCCAGAGCTGGGGCGGGGGCCAAGGGGGAGACAGGGAAATGAGATGGGTCAGGAAAGGCAGAAAGAAAGCCCGTTGTTATAGTTGTTGCTGGGGTAACTCAGCCTAATCCCAGTCAGGACCCCGGGTGCCAGGGTGGGACATGGAAGGAAGTCCCCAGGGAGTGTAAGCTGCTCTGGGCCCCTGGTGGGAGGCTCCTGGGGGTCGGGGGGCATGACCTGCAGGCGTCCTGGGCGCTGAAGAGTCCGGCCAAGCGTCCCGCCCCTGCTAGAGATGCAGGTGCTGGAGGCTGGGAGGTAGCAGGAACGCGCTGCCGGGGGGGGGGGGGGGGGGGGGGCTTGCTGGCAGCCCTAGCTATTCCATCCAAGAGTTCATCTTCAAAAGTGCTTTTCCAAAGCTCCGATCTGAGCCCCAGGTCAGGGGAGGTGGGACCCTTCTATTCGTGTTCACAGTCTCGGTCGCGTGCGCCTTTCCACACAGCAGGTGCTAAGGTCATCCCATGGGAGATGGCGTGCCCATGTATGGGCCCTTCAAGCCGAGGGCCTATTCCTTGAGGCCAGTAAGCTGCCACCCTGTAAATTACACCAGGGGTCATTATTAATCACCTTCATCTACCATCTGGATTGTATCACGATGGCACTGTAAGTCACGGCGGCAGATTCTATCTTCCACAGGGAGTCACACCTGAGGGGATAACCCACTCACCAGCTCTCCTTGGAGTGTGACACCAGTTTCCCCTCGAGAGGTGTGATCTAGACTCTCTTCTGGGGTGGACTATTGAAGCCCTAACTCCCAGGACCTCAGAATGTGACTGTGTTTGGAGACGGGGTCTTCAAATAAGTAATTAAATTTAAATGAGGTTGTTATGGGGGGCCTTAATCCAAGGTGACCGGTGTCCTTACGAGGAAAGGAAATTGGCACAGAGGTACAGGTGGAGGAAAGACCATGTGAGAACACAGGGTGCAGACAGCCGTCTACGTGCCCACAGAAGGCTCAGAAGCAGCTAGCCCTGCTCACACCTTGTCCCTGGACTTCGGACTCCAGGCTGTGAGGCGGTGAATGTCTGTTGTCCAAGCTGCAGTCTGGGGCACTTTGTTTTGGCAGCACCAGCAAACTCTTTAGCCTGGGCGGACTTTGTCCCTGCCTTACCAACAGAAGGCGGTGCACGTGACACTGTGTGACAGCAGGGCCTGGGTCGGCTTCCTGTCTCTCCCAGATACTTGCCCTCCGCACCCAGCCGCCATGCTGTGCGGGGCCCCAGCCGGCCAACACGGGGAGACAGTGGGGGGAAAGCTCTGAGACCCCAGCCAACAGCTGACAGCCATCACCAGACACATGGGGGAGTGGGGCTTCAGGGGACCCCAGGCCCCAGACTCAGGGTCCCTTCAGTGGAGGTCCCAGGCATGGTGGAGCAGAGGCAAACCACCCCTCTTCACTTTGTCTGAATTCCCAGTCTACCCAACCCATGAGAGTAATAATGAGCTGCACCATGATGCTGTATTTCTGGGTGACTGCAACAGCCTTGAACAGAAGCTAGTGTTGATCCTCAGTTTACCAAAGGAAAAAACCAGTGAAGATAAAGTCAATGACTTTTCAGGGCCACATAGCTGGAAAATGGTGGATGTGGGCAAGTGACTTCCCTGTGATGAATAGTTATCAAGAGTGTATTACAGGGACCGAAACACGCCCAGCTATTGGCCTGGGGGAGGCCTCCTCGAATGTGCACACAGGGTGTCTGCCCGCCACAAGGACTCCCCCCTGCCAAAGACTGTGTAAGCAAATCTGTTGGACGAATCCCAAGGAGTGGCGTATTTATTGAAAACATGTCCCCCCCAGAGGGATGGCCGAACTGATGTTCCACCGACAGCGTCGGACCCCCGTGCCAGCCCAGTCTTGGCAACGTTATGGGGTTTCTGATAATTGGCAATGCTTTTAGTCCTTCCACAATTATCTTTGAAACGTGATATAATATACTTAAATCAGTATGTGCTGAATTATAACTTTGAAGCTTTATCTGCTGTCCTCATGCTGGGAGAGGCGAGGAAAGCAGCATAATTATACCAGTTCCTTTTTCTTGCTCTCTCTGCATCTCCAAATTCTTGCTAATTATATAATTATCTCTAAATTGTCATGCTGGAGCGTTTGCATCCTGCTCCCTATCTGGAGTTTCCACACACGCGCGCTGCCTGCGCTTCTATATTTAAGCGGACTCGGTGCCCGCCGCCAGGTCTCCGATCCTAGCTCCCGAGCTGGGCGGCTGGCGCTGGGTCCGCCTCCGGTTGCCTGTCAGCAGGGCTCCCGGGGCCACATCTGCTGAGCCCTTATTTGTTGGTTGTTTTCTTGCTCCTGACTAGTTGGCAGCCTTTGTAGTATTGCATCTCACCCTCGGGTGTTTCCTACAAAGGACACACCTTTTTCTTACCTTTGACTTTCATGGAGATGCACGGGCTCAATATTTTCTTTGGCTTTTAGCCATTTTGAGTGTGTGTTGTTCACCTGTACTGGGTTTATAAGCCCAGGTCCTTTGCAGGGTCTCTTTTGATTATTACTAGCAGCTACGTGGGTGCGGCTCGTCGTGGACCAGATGCAGGTGAGGAATGGTGCTGGGAAGGGATGGGCAGGGGAGCAGGAATGGCTGACACCTAGCTTCGGCCCCGTCGCTGAGCAGCGTGCCCCGGGGCTGCTTTACCCGGACGGCTGGGGTTGCCAGTGCACCGCAAAGCCTGAGCTGTCCACTGTGCAGACTGTCCTCGCCTCCCCGTCTCTCCATCCCGAAGTCCGGACACCAGAGGACAGCTGCGGTTGACCAGTCGACTCCGTGTCGAGGGAATCCCTTCTTCCAGAGGGGCCCTGGAGTAGACCGCAGGCACTCACCGGCCACAGTCTCCCGTGTCCTGTGCTGTTTCTTCTGCTGCTGCTAGAATGGCTTTGCTGAAAGCTCTCCAGGGGAAATCATGTCCTTGTTTCAGTTCTGCCAGCTACCACTTAAGGGTCACGGCTTGTCTCCTACAATAGAACAGCTTTGCTAATTAAAAAAGATTAACCTTGGATAGAAACACAGCCTGAATGTATGCAAATTATATGAAACAGTGACTTGCACAGTGGGACAGAGGGAGCCTAAGGGACTTAAATCCTGTGAATAGCTATAAGATCAAGACAATCCCCAGGGCCGTTCCAGGGGGACGAGGCTACTGATGTCCAGGGTCCAGGGCCGGTCCACTGGGATGAGACCTCTGATGTCCAGGGTCCCCAGGGCCATTCCACTGGGACGAGGCTACTGATGCCCAGGGTCCAGGGCCGTTCCACTGGGACGAGGCTACTGATGTCCAAGGTCCAGGGCCATTCCCCTGGGACGAGGCTACTGATACCCAGTGTCCAAGGCATTTCTCTGGCTCTGGATGCACATTACCACCCCTGGGCCACTTGCAACCCCGTACAGATCACAGCAAGATCTTAGGGGGTGGGACTGTTGTTAGAAGGTTCCACAGCTTCCAGGGGATTTCAGTGATTGGCTCAGGTCTAGAGCCCTGGTCTAGACTGGAGTATGTGGCCTTTGGTTGGTGATCGGAGCCTGCTTTCTTCCTGAAGTAAATGTGAAAGTGAGTTCAGGTCAAGTCAAACACACTTGTCTCCTCGGGCCACAGGTGCCAACAAAAAGTAACAAATCAGAGGAAGCATCTACAGAGGCAGAGGGAGAGAGAAAATCCCAAGCAGACTCCCCCACTGAGTGTGGAGCCCGACCTGGGGCTCAATCTTATGATCTTGAGGTCATGACCGGAGCCGAAATCAAGAGTCGGACCCTTAACCACCTGAGCCACCCAGGCGCCCCAGTTGTAACTATTTTAAAGTGTACAATTCAGTGCCTTTTCATATATTTACAACGTTGGGCAACCATTACCACTATCTAACTTCAGAATATTTTCATCACTCCAAAAGGAAGCCCTGTGCCCTGTGCCCAGCCCTTCTGGCCTGTTGGTCGGGCTCTTGGCCTCACCCGGGTGACCCCAGGGGGGCCGTACACAACGCCGTGTGCTTATAGCTGCTGCTCTCCATCGGCTGGCCGCCCTCTCCAGCAAACACTTGTTAGGCTAGTTGGCATTGTCCGGCCTCAGACCCTTAGATCCCCCATCTCTGTCCTCCTTACCTACCCACACCCACGTCAACGCCATGGACTCTGGTTGGTGGTGGTTTATCACTGTCCACTTGTTTGGCGGAGCGGTTGGTGGGGACACCCTGTCACCTGGTTTTGTTATCCATGGTGCCCATGGGACCCTGGGTTTCCTCTCTGATTGCTCTGTGTTTGAGTGAGGGGTGGGGAGTGGGGTGAAGGTTGGGAGAGAGCGGAGCCAGCTTTTATGAATTCTCTGTTGAGGCCCCTGAGCTGAGGAGTTTGGAGCTCACCTGGCACCTCTCCTAGGAAGTGATTTAAATCATTAAGAAAAGGTCAAGTTGTTTTCAAAAACTCTTTTTTTTCTTAAGATTTTATATATTTATTTATTTTAGAGGGAAAGAGAGTATGGTCATAAGCAGGCAGAGGAGCAGAGGGAGAGACACAAGCAGATTCCATGTCTGGAGCTGGGTGAGGGGCCTGATCCCAGGACCCTGAGATCATGACCTGAGCCAAAATCAAGAGTCAGATGCTCAACGGACTGAGTCACTCAGTTGCCCCAGAAAACCCCTTTTAAGAAGGAAAGGAAAAGGGGGCACCTGAGTGGCTCAGGTGTTCGAGCGGCTGACTCTGGATTTCAGTTCAGGTCATGGTCTCAGGGTCATGCGATTGAGCCTGGCCTTGGGCTCTGTGCTCAGCGGGGATTCTGCTTCAAGATTCTCCCTCTCCTTCTGCCCCTCCCCCCTCAAATAAATAAACAAATAAATCTTTAAAAAAAAAGGAAGGAAAGGAAAGTTATAATATGGCTTATAAATATTTGTTCCTAAAATGCTTAATTTTAAAGGCAATTTAATACTACCTGGAACTTTAATATATGTGCAAGTATTCAGTCTCCAATGATCTGAATAGATGTAGGTGTGTATGTGTGTATTCGTCTACAGCTTTCTGGAGCTCAAGTGCAGGGTTTCAGAGTTGCCTTTTAAAGAATGTTATCTATCAAATATTAAATTCTGCTGTGAGTTCTGTCTTCCCTTGACTGTCAGGACAGAGCCAGACCTCGAACTCCTGAGCTAGCCGGTGGATCGATTTCCATGTGCATACAGGGGTGCTGGGGTTTGAACCGGAGACAGTACATGCTTGGTCCCAACTCACAGGATGACACCAGGAGAGCGCAGACCAGGGCTCCGGGCAGGATGGCGGGTCAGGAACAAGCCCTGCCTCCCCACCCGCCTCCTACCCCCCGTTGACGGGACCACGAGATTGCCAAGAAAAATGCAGGAACTCATGCTCATCTTGTGTTTAGAGTTCTCTTAAGATTGCCTTGCTTCTCTTTCCTGTGAGGCTGCATCTTACCTGCCCTTGGGCAGTCCTTCCACAAACCTTTCTGGTAATGAGCTTTCTTAGCTCAATTAAATTATGCCACATTCCCACAAGAGCTTTCAGAGGGAGTACAAATGGATTGGCTCCAAGAGCTGGATTGTCAAGCCTCACATTGCCCTCAAATTCTCAGGTGACCTACATTCTTCCTGCATTCCTGAAGTGTCACTGGGCAAAGAGCTGGGGAACTCCGTACAGACTGGGCAGCTGGTGCAGCCCTTTGCAGATGTGACAACTCCAAAATCACCCCAAGGGCCAGTCAAGGGGTGTGCCCATGCTGCCCGAGCACAGAACAGACTGACAACACTGTATCTCAGAGAAACTGCACTTCGAAGACCAGGAGTAAGAGCAGCACAGAGAATGAGGCAAAGCGCTCTCAAAAACAGTGAGGTTATTTTTACAGTACATATGTGGTTTTGGTGTTTACTTCTTCTTATATTTACTTCTATATGAATTGGAGTTATTTGTGGCAAATGAATATTTGTGGCAAACGAAAGAAACCTGTATCAGAGATTGATGACAACAGCCCAGAAAGGCAGATAAAGAAGTCACTCCTCACTAGGATGCAAC